TCATTATATACACAGTAACACGCACACTTCTAAACATTTCGAAATTGAATCAAGGTCATTCCAAGTTCCTATCCTTCCTTAAAAGATGTTATAATTTACACAGAAAGATAGACTGAACGACGAATGACAAAATCTTATATATGTGCAAAGTAAACTTACTAAAGTCTAAACGTTGACTGTTTAATTAGAAGGCTTAACAGTTATAACAATGTTAAACTGTGAATGCAGTCATTATGTGGTCGCTGAGAGCAAATGTCGCTAAATACATCATGTGACATATGCGATATAGGTAGGTAACAGGAGAATATGCGATATTGTTGTGTTTACTCACATTTCACGACAAATACTATACAACAACAATAGTAGACATATTGACTTGCCTTCATGTATGTTTTCTAAACACTGATACTGTGTATATTCGATGGATTAGCTAGATTTGTAATAATAACAATAATTACTGCTCACCTTTCATTTTTCGCTGGCGTCCATTTACCCATAATGCGTTGCGCGGTTGCTATACGATGAACACATATATATATATATGACGTATGCATAGCTATTTATTTATTATGTATTTATTGGAAATTTTAAGATAACATAATGAACATAATTAACATGATTAACATAAGCAGTCAACATAATAAGAATTCATTTAAAGTTAATTTTAACTAAAAACAAAAAGTGGTCAATGTTGGATTTATTGTCGATGTCGCGGTTACATTTTTCTCCACAGCATGTAATATGTATGAAAGCACATTTTAAAAATGCACTTATTTAAAATGCAATTTTGGAAAGTACATTTTCTGGAAAAATGCATTTAAAAAATCACTTTTTGATGGAAAGTACATTTTTTTAAATGCACTATAAAAATGCAATTTTGGAAAGTACATTTTTTTGGAAAAATGCATTTAAAAAATGCACTTTTTGATGGAAAGTACATTTTTTTAAATGCACTATAAAAATGCAATTTTGGAAAGTACATTTTTTTGGAAAAATGCACTTTTTAATGAAAAGTACATTTTTTATAAATGCACTTTTTAATGAAAAGTACATTTTTTATAAATGCACTATAAAAATGCACTTTTGGAAAGTATATTTTCTGGAAAAATGCATTTAAAAAATGCACTTTTTGATGGAAAATACATTTATAAAAATGCACTTTTTATAAATGCATTTTGGAAAGTACATTTTCTTGGAAGAAAGTACACTTTGAAAATGCACTTTTAGGTAAAAATGCATTTACAAAATGCATTTTACCCTAAAAGTGCATTTTTTCAGGCAAAAAAATGCATTTTATTTTGACTAGGGATAGCAAACCCGTGCACTAGACCATGAAAACAATGACTTTTCATAGTCTGATGCACAGGTTTTTATTGTTTGTCCTCCAATATTGCTGCTCGTGGGAACCCTCTATACCTTAGGAGAGATTTTTTATGTTCAAAATGGGATCTCAGAACTCAATGCAGTCATAAGAAACCAAACAAAAATGAAAACAATTTTGGCAGGTTCCACGATGTACACCACGCTTGTCAAGCACCATCTTGCTGAGCAGATGCCGTATTCCATGTACACGTTCTGTTGTTATCTCTATCACAGATTTCGAGAAGTCTGTACTATCGAGTCGATAGAGGGCACTGACCTCCACACTACGTATAGACTGGTCCCCGTTCGCCACTTTCATTCCGGTACGCGTGATTTTTTTTCCTAGGTCAATC